GGCATAAATATTCTCGTCAAAATCTTCTTATCATTGACGTAATTTAATATCTTTAAACTTGAAAATATATTACACACAGATTAAGTTTTATATTCTTTAATGAGAATGTATGATTCCAAGAAAAGCAATAATTCTTGAAAATACTTTTTGTTTCATTTATATGTTCATGTTCTATAATATAATAATTTTATAAATTAATTTTGAAATATTGTTAATTTATATAAATTAAGAGAGATCAGAGCATTAAGTTAATATTCAAACTTTTAAAACTATTGTTAAGTATAAGATTTAAGTATAAGATTTTTAAGTATAAAGATACTTATCTTTAATGTACTGATATCTTTAATAGTATCTTTTATCTCAGTTTAATATAATAAAACAAATCATTTAATATAATAAAACAATCATGTTTATATTAAAATTTATTGAGTACACATGATAAATAATAATTGATTTTTTAAAAAGAAATAAGAATACATTTTTCTTGTAAAATGATACTCAAAGTTTTATATCTGAAACACTAGTTAATGGAAAAGTTAATTATTTTACATAAAAAATTCAAAATATTTTGAAATATAAAAATAATTTAATCTATAATTACGCAATAATTTAATATGCAAACTTTTCGAGATACGGAAATAATCTTAAAATTTTATTATAATAAAATACGCAGACCTTCAAGCAAATTCTAGTTATGCTGATTATTTAATTCAAAAATTTGAAGATATTTTTAAAGTTTTGGAGTTTATTATTATATAATTTATTAATTGATAAATATTTAAATAAATGACAAACAAGTGTAATATTTTAAACATTTAAAATATTTAAGACAGTCACGTAATGAAAGAAAATGTAATAAACAAGAAATAAAAGTATATATACACATCACTCCTAATTTTTATAATCATATTGGTATTTTTATATATTGTATATCATTTCAGAAGAAATATAAGGCATTAAAAAATTCTATTGTATGACGACGAAAAAAATTCTATTGTATACCGTATGCCACACAATTTTTTAACTATACATTCCATTTGAGTTTCATTTTCAAGGTTACTTCATTGAAATAATATAATATATTTTTACAAAATTTTTAAATTGATAAATCGATGATGAAAAATATTTTAAAAATTGTAAACAAGTGGAAAATGATTTATTTATATAAAAATGATAAATTAAAAATAACTCATCTATAGAACAATTTAAGATCTTTAAAATTGATCTCTTGCACTTTTTTTGTACTAACAGTTTCAATGATATAATAATTTGAATGTTCGCATGAGCGACGTTTTTTTTTTATGAATTTCTGCAACTTACAAGTGTCAATAACTTCACAAAAAAAATCTCAAATTTTTCAAATGTGTCTCATATTTTTATCTGTAGAATATGTCCGAAAATTTAAAAAAAAATTAAAAATGACGATGTTTTAAAGGTTTGCCTCGGTTTGCCTCATATACACATTTCATATGTTACTGATAAAGCTATAAAAATATTTTTTTAATCATTTCTTTTTTTAAAATTTATTTCAAAATTGTTTTCTTCTATTTATTTCTTAAATTATTTCAACTGTTTTTCTTCTGTTTTCATTCTAATGCTCAAATAAAGGTAGTCGTTTTAAATGAAAAGAGTATAACATATCATAGAGAGCAAAAGTAGCATAGTAGCTGGAAAGTATCGGTAAATAATATCATCTTTTCTTTCATAAAAGCCATTTGTTTTTGCGCTTTATCAGGTAAAAAAAGTAAATATTATACGTAGACAAAAGAAACAAATAAACTTGTTTTCTTTTTCTTTCAAAATAGAATCGGAGATATTATTAATTGTTGTCCGATAAGCTTACAGATCAGCGATCAAATTTCTTTGTAATATTTTAGAAACATATTTTTTTGCCTACCGTTAATGATATAACTTATTTACCCTTCATATTTTTTAAAGATAGAAAAGAGTTAGATGTGTTATAAAATGTCTTGAGACTGTTTAACACTTAAAAATGACTACAATTTAAATTTTTTCTTTCCATACACATTAAAATTTTTTTTAGAAATAAATTGACTAGAACATAATTGTTTCTGGTTTTAAACACTATAATAATTTCATAATAAAAAAGCTATGAATAATCAAAATTGCTAAAATATTGATTATTCACTTTCTTTTAATCATAATTAAAATTTAGAAAGTGCTCTCTTTAGAGAAAAGTATCAATCAAGAAAGGAAAAGAATAAAGAACGATAATTCAAGTATTTAATGCAGTTGAAAAGGAAGACAACAAAGAATAGTATTTTTATGATGCATTCGAGGGGATGTTATATTAGCGCTTTTTGTGCCATTCTATCTTCATCGCTTATTAGACACAAAATAAAAATAGAATGACACAAATAGCGCTAATAGAGTTTCTCTGAATGCATATTTAGTAGTATTTTTTCATAGTAGTATTTCGTAATGTTTTTCGTAACAGTTTTTCGTAATAGTTCTGGCTTATAATTTTACAATTGCAACCCTGTCCTTGTCGTGGGTAGCAAGAGATTGTTAATAAGATCTCCAATTCTGAGTAAATTTTTGTTAATTATCAAAAGAGCCCCTATGGAAATAATTAATTGGAGAGTGTAGATATTATCGACTGTTTTAGTGTGTCCAAAGATATATTAATGAAGATTTTATGTCTTCCTTAACCATTTTTTTATCATAAAAAATATACAATCAGATTTTTGATGATCGATATAAACTGATAAAAATAGTGATTAAAGGATAAAACAGTGATTAAAGGATAAAACAGTGATTCAGTAAAATCTTCATTAATTTATCAGAATAAATTTCTCAGAATTGCTAAAAGTTGATAATGTTGTTTAATTTTCTTTCTTAATCATTCTTATCTTTCTTAATACAATAGATTCTCCGGGATACATCGGAATCACGCTAAGAATTACCATGAAAAATGAAATAGAAAAATAAAGATCAACAAATCAGTATCATTCTAAAAAATTTGTATTTCGTCGGCTTTTCGCATTTATTTTTTTTCTATTAGTTCAATAAGTGAAAAGTGCAGAAGTTATATCATTTATAAGTATAAGTAATCGAAACATAATTATTATATTGTGTATTATCACATAATAATATTAAATAAAATAATATGTATTAAAACTATCTTTGTATTTACATATTACATACATTAAGCAGCTTCATTCCCTAAGCATCAAAATTTTTGGAAATTAATAAAATTAACAACTAATTAATGAAATTATTTATTTTACCTGTTTAATGTGAACAAATATATAGCAAATATGTAGAGAAATTTTATATATATATATATATATATATATATATATATACAAAAAATATATATATATGTATATATATGTATATACACATATATACAATGTATAAATATATATACACAATATATAAATTACTAATATTACAATACATAGTTTGTAACCAGAGACTACAAAATATCTGGAAAAATAAGCATTGAAAAATCCAAATAAACCCTCAATATTTTTGAGGGAGCATTTCTATACCGCAAAAGTTAGCTGCTTCCCGCTCCTCCCTGGGAGCGGGGTTAGAGGTAACTTTGAAATCTTAAATGGGAACCTTTACTTTTTATTCGTCTCTCGGGCTCCATTGATAGTCATAAAAATTTGCCCAGGGCTAAGGGTCTTTAGTATCTCGTCGATGCTTTTACTGTCATAGCACAAATATTAAAACAAAATCCGCTAAAAAATGATAAAAAAAGATCAAGCTCTGATTGGTCGCAAGATAAACATGCGCAAGAACACACTATGTCTACTTGCATCATGGCCGAGGCTTCGAGTCATTCATATTAGCAATTAAATTATCTTGCTGTAGAGAGTCACATAGCGATAATTAAAATAGCGACCCGATAATTAAAATATCCCCCTGTCAGGATGTTTATCTTCATTTTTTGATTCCCCTGATTTTCCGATTCAAAGAAAGAGTCACAGTATCATGCGATAAATTTGAAAAAAAGATCCTGTGATAGTCTTTGCGGAGGATAGAGGTTCTACAATTAAATAAGTGTCTGACAAAGATAAAATGATACCTCATGCGTATTAAGCATGTAACGGAACGTAGCCAAAATAAGCTCCAAAATTAGGTTTTAAAGTGAATGATATGGAATGTGTTCTTCGCATTCTGAAATTTCTAAAAAAATTAATTTCAATTTTTCTGGAATTTCTAGAAAAATTAAAATTTTGCGGAATATATTAGGTATGGGAAAAAGTTCGTGGCGTTTTTTTAATGCCATCTAACGGGAAAAACGTCACGAATTTTTTCCCACACCTAATATATGGAACATTCTCGAAATATACAACGATATATAAATGATGTATAAATGGAGTTTTTAACCAATATTTGAATGTTGCTTCTATTTCGTAAATGTTTCGCGATTTCTGGAGTACTCTTGGAATCTTTTTTTTTAAATTTTAGGAATCTTATAAACATTTCAGGAATATTTAGTGTTAGCTAGGGAAACATGTGGAAAGAAACGTGATTGTCGATAAAACTGTGTAAATAGATAAAAAGGAAGACACAGAAGCAAGGAACATATTGTAGATTAAAGCGAGGAACACAGACTTTTGCATAACACATAAAGCATCAGAAATTCCACCAATCAGAATTCTTTATTTCAATGAAAGGAAAGAAATGAGGGACTTTGATTGGTTCAATTTATTATGTGTTATATGTTATACAAGAGTCTGTGCTCTCCGCTTTACTCCCGTAAAAATGTCAATCTTTAATAGCCTCGTCGATGTCATGGAATTTACATGATTCTTTTTTGAAATTCGAATCGCGCGCTACAATACAAATGATGAAAAATCGCGAGGTTGAGCGTTGAAAAGCGTGATTACAGCGCCACCATCGATACTCGATAAAACGCCGCTTTTGGCTCTCTCGGCAAGGGGCAGGGCGGGGTATCGCTGACGTCACATTCGGCAATGTCCGCCGGTGCTCGACTGGCCCGATCTCGCCCGAACGGGTCAATGTCTGAGGAGGAGGTATTGAAAAATCCAATGGTCGGTGTGGTGTTGCCGTACTGCTGCTCGACGACGACGAGGCAGAGAGGTCGTCGCTGATCGCCGTGTGTATCGTTCGACATTACCGCCGCTGCGTGACCGCCGCGGACGCGTGTTTCTTTTTTTTCCGCGTTCGATATTACCCACCGTGTCCAATCGCGTCGTCACGACATACTGAGGAAGCTGCTGCGAAAACTGCCCTGCGTCGGCCTGTCGTGCCTGCGGTGCCCACGACATACAGCAATAGTGAGAAAGGGATAGAAAAAGAAAGAAAAAGAGAAACAGAGTGCCGATTGAACACGGGCGTTGAACGCGAGAACGACGAGGAACGGCGGCGACGGCGACGACGACCTCCTCCTGTCGAGTAGAGCGCAATAGTCGTTCTTCTCGCTCCGTAATTTCATACTACCCGACTCGCACCGCGCGCGGCGATATGCAGCAGTACGAAAATCTGTCAGACATCAACGAGGAGTGAAATAGAGTGAAGTAGAGTAAAACGCAAGAATCGGAGCGAACTAGTGACGAGACTATAACGGAGAGAGAGAGAAAAACAGTGAAGAAGAAAAGTATAGCGCGTGAGACAAAAAGAGAGAGAGAGAGAGACGGAACAAGGCGCGACGACACGAGTGAGAAAGAGAGAGAGAGAGAGAGAGAGAGAGAACGACGGAGTAGCGAGTGCGGAGCGAAGATAGCCGCGATCGGTGGGAGATCAACGCGACGTTGGCCGTGGAAGTAAAAATTCACACCGCGCGTCGTCGGCGGAGTACCGCGCGGTGGCGCGCCGCTACGTAATACGTCGGCGACCGACAACGACGGAGAGAGCCGAGGCGCGGGACCGCGAGGAAGCAGCCGCGTTTTATAGGAGCCGAATAGTACAAGCCGTCCCAAAAACGTCGGTCTGCCGTCGCCACTACCGCTACCGCCACCATCGCCACCGCCGCCACGACGTTGGCACGCACCCCTCGTCGCTCTCGCCAGCGGCGCTCCGCAGCGTCACCCCTCCCCCTCCCCCGCCACCGTTCATTGGCTGACGATACCGCGCTTTGGAACTGCTTGCGGCCGCCACTGCCGCATCGCCGTGACAGCAGCGCGAGGAGGAAGCTAGGCCGTCGTCGCCGAGAGAGTGCGCGTCAGTGTGCCGAAAAAGAGGGTGGTGTCGCTTGTACGACGACGAGTGTATGAAGGTGGGCTTTCCTCTCTCTCCTCCCCCCCCCTCTCCTTCTGTGGAAAAGGTGTTCTCGTGCAACGAACACGGTGTGCGGATCGACACTCGTCACCTCCGCGCGCGTACACGGAAAGCTAAAAGTCATCCGTGAAAAAGTTAGTGTCGTCTGCGGTCTCTCGCGCTGCTTGTCGCCATCTCTTCCCACACTCCTGCCCTTCCTTCTTCAGTCTTGTCACGCTCTTTAGCTTTTCCATCCCCGAACTAGCAGTCGAGTGTCGTTGGCATAACGTGAAAACGGTGTGAAGAGGTGATAGAGAAGATAAGAAGAGAGCGAGAGAGAGAGAGAAAGAGAGAGAGAGAGAGAAAGAGAGAGAGGAAAGAAAGTGCGCGCGTGAGCGCGCACTCTCGTGCGATGTGATAATCGCGTGTGCGACTGTTATTGATGTGCGAGGTGGTGTTGACGACGAGGGAAACGACATCAACGGCGACTACCAGGGCTAACTTCAGGCGGTGGCGGAGGAGGAGGAGGAGAATCGCCGGAGAGATACCGGCCAACCTAACCTAGTAGACGCAGTAGGAGTAGCAGGAGAGAAAGAGGCAGCGGGGACGCAACCTTTTCAAGTCGCGGTGTAGGTGTGGAGGCGGAGGTGGAGGCGGTCGAGAAAGCTTCAGGATGAGCGGACGACCGAGAACCACCTCCTTCGCCGAGGGTAACAAGCAGCCTGCGAATCCGCCCCTCGGCGGTATGAAAATAAGCAGTAAGTACCATAACCTCGCATCTGCTACAGTTTCTTTCTTTTTTCTCCTTTTCTCTTCACCTGCATGGTTTTCGAAATTTTTTTGAAAAACTTTTTTTTCGGTTGTATCGCTTTCATCCAATTTTACGCACATGCTCCTGTTGAGTATCATTCGAATGTTATAAATTGCGATTGAAAAATATCGACGATTTGCTTCTTTCACTGCTGGATTTTGCCCATTTTTTACTTACTTTTTTCTTTTTCTCTTCTTGTAACAATTGCGTGCACATCTATTTTGGTTTAGGCACGAAAAGTGTAAGAAAGTGCAAGATGTGAAATAGTGAATAAGTGTAAATAAACTTGACGGGGGTGTAGAGAGTGTAAGAAAGTGCGATTGAAACGAGCAGACTCATCGTCCATCTTTGTCTCTCTTTCATTTTCTCATTCATTCTTTCTGCGATATTTTCTTTCACTTCTTTTTTCATTATATGACTTTCGATATAAAATTGATCTTGAAATTGTATTTCATTTTCCATAGTTTTAATTTAAATATGCACACGCTTATGATTGCTCTTTAAATGTAATAAAGTATAAAAGAGGATGAATAATCTATTTCTTTGACTGCTGGCTTTGTTCATTTCAAATTTATTCTTTCCACATATTTATTTCTTTTTACTATGATTACATATACATTTATCTTTTAAATACAAAAAGTGCAAAACTCGTATCAGAAAGTTGATTCTATATCTTGAAACAAAAATTATAAAAATAATTTACTAGATGATATTAACCAACTAAATTATAAATATTCTAATAAATTTGCTCGCTTTTATCATTTCAACATACAATCGAGATCTCTAAATTAGGTATTGAAAACTGAAGACTGCTAACTAAATACAAATTCTACCAATTGGATAAATTTAATTTTATTCTGTTTTATCCTGATTGATTAAATTTTCAATCTATATAATCTTTAATCTCCAATATGTAGCCTGATATGGGTTTAAGAAAATATTAAATAATGCGAATAATTTGATAAAGTATACAGAGTGTAAGAAAGTGCAATTGAAAGGAACTAATCCATCTTTGTCTCTCTTTTCTTTTCTCCCGCGCTTGTTTATTTCCCGTTTTTTCTGTTTTTTTTCTTTCTTTCTCTTTCTCCTTTTCTTCCTTCTTTCTGCTCCTCTTTTTTTTCTTATCGATTCATCTGTGGGATACAGAGCTACGTGTATGCGTGCATGCATCCGGATGTTCTCGAGGGAGTGAAGAGAAGGTGGAAAATAGAAGCAATTGCCTTTTTCATTACTAACCTTAAGATTCTCTGATTGTCGATCTTGACGATTTACGTATGCTTTCTGGTAACCTCGATAGGAATGTCGTGAGATTCTATGAGGGTGGAGTCGATCTTGCACCTCTCCGCATTTCTCCTTTATTCACCTGATTTCTACGCCCTTGCGACAAAGCAGATTGAATGACAAAATGCAACATAAATTGTCCAAAATTGCAAAAAACTTGAGTTATCTTTTTATATTATTATAGAATGTTTCTCTTAAAATAATTTAAGCCTTTTTTATACTTCATTATACTTTAAAAGAACGTAAACTCTTAATGATGCTTTAAAATAAAACAGTAATTGCATATATAATAATATATTTTTATTTTATTATAATCACAATATTTTAATTCTAAAATGTACTCTGCATTAACTAATTTAGAGGGAAGGATAATTAATATTCTATAATTTTTTCTCTTTAGCTATTTTATGATATTATATATGTATACATTATACATTTTAAACACTGAATAAATAAATAGTTCAAGTGTAAACAGTAAAATTGAATTTATAATAAGTAAAATGCCGACATATATATACAGTATAAAAACACAAAAATATGAAAAGACTTTACAAAATATTTTTGTAAGAACAATCTGACAATTATTTTAATAAGTGCATTTTAGCTTCAAGTATACATTAGATGAATAGCGATATTTTAATATGTGATTATATATTCGGCATATCTTGCTACTAATTATTACATTTATTTATCCTTTGTTAATAATCGCGCGTAGATTTGACAACTCATTACCTCATGAAAGTTACTTTTAAATATTGTATTAACTAAATTTTTAATAAAATTGTGAAACAGTGTCGGAAAATTAGACTTTTTTATTGAATAGTAAAATATTCTAAACTACAAAAGAACGTGCTGGCACACCTAAAATACCTAAAAATGTATTAACAATGGAAAGACAATTATTTTGGCTTATTTTTTGTTAATCAATTTATATGTTCATGATTAATGTAATTTTGATAGTTAATTATCTTAGATGAAGATTATGTTTGAATGATTTTTCTGTTTAAAGATTTTAAATTATCTATTAATAAAAAAAATTAAGGAAATAATTTCTCTTAATATTAAGCAATTTAATAATATAACAAATTTTTATGTGCAGCACATGATGAAACATAAGTAATATAGGAACACAAAAAATGTTTTATTAGATATTCTAGTGAATAATATTATAATTAATACCGGGAAAAATTTTATTGAAATTTTATCTTGCAATTGATTAAATCATATGTGTACTTATTTACGCGATGATTATTTTCATCGCTCGCGATCATAATCATGTCGACGCAATTCAATGACCATGACAGCGTTATACGCACGCGAAAATCTTATTATATATGCACGACATTTTTGGCGAGCGTTTGATTTACGTATGTATTAACGCACATTGATCCATTACATTACATGCAATATGTATATGCTGCGCTCAATTACAAGAAATAAAAGGCGGTTATGCGAGCTAACGCGATTATAAAATATAATTCTCTTTATTAAAGAACTTTTCAGTATTAATATCTTAAAAAAAAACTGTTATATATGCGTAACATTCACATTTATATTGTTATTGATTTATATTAAAGAATTAAGATTTAAAAATAATGAAAAAAGATAAAATGTAGAAATAAAAAATATTAAAATAATAAAAGTAGTTTATATGTGTGTATTAAAGTAAACTAATTAATATTAACTTGAACTTTTTTTGATGAATAATAAAGTATAATAAAGTATAAAACAAGTGAACAAATAAGTAAATGTGAGAATAATATGGTTGTTAATGTGATCATTATTTGAATAAAACAACATTTTGATTGATAATACTTAAGTTTTATTCATAGCATTGAAAGTTTAGTGATTCGTGTTTGCGAAAACAAGTTCAACTTCATTATTTGATTGCTATAGATAACCTAGAAGCCTAATTGCACTTGTGTTTAATAAACATTTCTCCGTGTTGCGTACTTGCTCATTGGCAAGGCAATTTATATAACGGCACAGGATAAATCACGTATCTCGCCATGCAATCCACATGCGCCGGACTGTGCAAGATAAACCGTTACCGCCTTGAACTTGCATAACGCTTGCATAATTTTTAATCGATATACCGAACTATATATGGAATTAAATTATGCAGTTTGACAGAATAAAGCTAACAGCTTTAGCATAACTTTCGTATTTTATTTATAAACATCAAAAGTTATGGTCATAATCGTAATATTTTTGTAATTTTGTAAAAGAAGCATAATCTGAGTTTTTAAATTTATAAATATGAGTACAAAAGGGTATATTTTTCTTTTTTTAATAATTTTATTTATAAAAGTATTTTTAAATCACTTATTTTATTAAATAAAGTAATCATACATTATGTTGACTAAAAATTGTTCAGCTTTTATTTTAGTAAAACAAGAATTTTTTTTCTTATTCTCATAGTTATGAGTAATTTTTAATATCATCTTATTCTTTGTGCTTTAATATACTTCATGCAAGAGGTAGTGTATCATTACACATTTAAGACGCTAGTGAGTGGACGTCTACGTCTCCCCAAGGACGTATTATAATTTACCATTCCGATGGATTATCTGTAAGATACTGCTGACCGACATCGAATAGCCGGTAATAAATGATAGTAGGCGTAAATAGGCGACAATAATGATTTAGACTTCTACTTTGAATTTCGTAAATGGCTTATGTTTGAATGATAATCTATTACGACTCTGACCAAAATACTCAACTCTCAGATGTTCGATCGAAAGCTCTACTTCCAATGCATATATAATTATAGAAACTGATTGACATATCTAAATTAAACGAAAACATATATTAACAATTGTTATTTAAATTTATAGAAGAAAGTAATACTTCCTGAAAAGAATTTCAATTTTTAAATTGGGATATAAGATACTCTGATGTTTTTATAATCGATTTCTATGATAATATCATGATAGTAAAATGAGTATAGATAAAGGGAAAATTATCGGAAAAAATATATTTCGCTCACTTCGTAAAGACCAAAGATCGAGTTTCTATAACGATAATGTTAAATTAAGATAACTTTCAGAGCTTCTGTGTTGTCAGCGACGAGAGCGTGCTCCTGTCAAAAATAGTGACACAAGTAATGCAATCGCACCGCTATCTTTGGCGCACGCGACCTGCGTACGTCCATAACCTTCCGATGCAATTAAAAATACAATTTGATCATACAATAAGAGTTCCTGTATCAGTTAAGACAGTTTAAAATAACATTAGTAAGCTAATATTAGAAACTAATTTAATTCTTTTAATAATGACGGTATGTTTGAAAATGATTTTTTACCTATTTTTTTATTATTTTTAATAATAGAATTTGTTTTTACATGCGTCAATATGATGTCATAAACAAGAATATTATCACATAGTTGGAAAAGGATTTATATGTATATATATATATTTTTTACTATTAATTTATTATTAAAGATTACTAAGATTACTAAGTTTATAGTAGATATATTGATAGTATTAAATGACAGTTTTACTTTTACCAGATTGGAAAACCGTCTATTAAAAAATAACATTTCCAGAATAGGAAATACTTACATACACTTGCGTTATATGTATAAACATGTATATTTTTTTATTATACCTGCGATCGATTTTGGAAGGACTGTAAATTCCCCTGAGAATGTTTGCGTTATAAAG